ACGTTCTAATTATAGGCTGATTCAACTAAGGCGCCAGTTCAAAGTACGGAAATACGTCGACTTCTACGTCGTTAAATGAGCATGCGTCACATAAATTTTAAGGGAACTGTACACGTAATAAAAAGTATATAAAATGTACTTTTCTCACATGATTACAACTCCTCTAAGAATCTTGCGAGCATTATATATCCTTGGCGAGTCGTTGGCATTTACGCACTCGGTCGAGCGTGTGCAAAATTTGTCGAGCAGTTTCACCAAAAAAAAAAGAAGATCGAATCGTGAAGTTTTCACTTCGGACAAGTTTCCAGCTTGCGAAATCACCACCGAAGATCAACAAAGTGAAACACTTGTCTCCACATACTCCACTGCGGCCACGAGGATTAAGAAAACAGATCGAAATATATCTCCGACGCGCGCGCGAACGAGCGACCGAACTTTCTCCTTACCGATCTAACGGGTGAATCACGGCCCCGTTAATCGACCCTGCCGGCTCACCCCGAAATTACGGAAAAGAGCCCCGCGTCTCTCTCTTTTTCCCTCGTCCTCTCTCGCTCGCTTTCTCTCTCTCTCTCTCTCTCTCTCTCTCTTCCGCTCTCTCTTTCGCTCTCTCTCTTTCCCTCTTTCTCTCTTTCTATCTCTCTCAATACGCGTGTGTGTTTCGCCCCTATCCCCGGTGCGGTCTCTCGACGTTACACCGCGCGCACCACCGGTGCACGACGCGCGATACTCGACTCGCGCGTTGTAATGGTCGATCGCGGCTTCGACCCTCTTCCGAGCCATCGAACGGCCCGAACGCGGTCGGATTTTTCGACGTTTACTGCCTTTAGGCCCCTGGACCATGCGTCCGCACGCCCGCCCGCCTTCCGCCAACCCCTTTCATCCCCATGCTCCCCCGGATACTCAAATTGACCCGTCGTGCTCGATCCACCCCCCCGTCTACCCCTCTTCCGCCATCCGCAGCGAGCAGAGTTCCCCCCCTTCCACCCTCTGCCACCGCCACCGCCGCCGCTGCCGCCGCCGCCGCCGCCACGGCAGTTGCCACAGCTTCCAACCTTTTTACCCCTGTACCAACCCTGCTTTTTCCCCCGTTCCGCCCAGCCGCCCTCCTCGCCTACGCTACCACCCCCTATCCCCCTTTTTATCCCGCTCTCCCTTGCGCGCACCACTCATTATAGTTTCTCCCTCCCTCGCCGCGCACTCCCTCCCCCTTTATCCATCTATCCCCCTTCGCTCCTCTTCCCCCATGCGGCCACCACCTCCTCATCCTTCCTCCTCCTCCTCCTCCTCGCCCGCCTCAGCCACCACCATCCGCTCGCTCGCTGCTGCTCGCTCTCCCTTCCACCCTTACACGTCGCCCACCCTCCACCCGGTTCAACGCTCTACCGCAACCCTGGGAAAACCCTGGAAAATCCAGCGGCGTGCACCTAACTTCACCGTGGCGTATATGTATGTGTATGTATGTGCACATGCATGCATACATGCTACACGTGCGTGTGCCGGTGACACACGCAAGCAGGGGTTGCGTGTAGCTACCGGGTGTCCCCGGAATCGTGGCCGCTTTCTTTTCTCAAAGGATTTACGAACTTATACTCGTAATGGAGCGGCAGAGATTTCTCTCGGCGAATACACATAAATGTACCAACTGCATTCTTTTCAATTGCAATCGGGATAAAATTCAGTTAGTTTACATGTGTGTGAGGACAGCTCTTACATTCTAAAGTAGAACGTTCGAAAGTATATAGTGAAGAAAAAGTACCTGTTAAAACTTCTGACGAAAGCTCCGACTTGATTGCCGAGTTTTCAGATAAGAGAAACGGTGCGACTGCCGGGACACCCCGTAGGCGATGTTGCGTACGAGCGCGTATACAGGCGCCGCGGGAGGCATGCGTACGTAATGGGCATCGGCCAGGCCGTTAGCGCGAAAATTGTTTATTTAAAGCCCGAGCGGATGCACGCGCGCACGGGGGATGGCCGCGCGTGCGCCGCGCGTGCACGCATCGGAAATTGCATACGTAAGAACGGCGAGCGTGAACGCGCGCGTGAATGCGCCGTGCGTCTCTGCGCGAAGTGTGCTGCAGGTTCATCTCATCTCCCTACACAGGTATTATCGAGATCGCCGAAGAGAAAATCGAGAGAATTCGCGAGAAACGCGAGAGAAACTTGCGGAATTTCTTTGCTGCGTAGATAAGAGCGGGAAACGACACAGACGATATCTATCTAATTACAGTTTAGAGACGTATCGCGGCTGTTAGCGTTATAGGGTAATGAAGGTTAATGCATACGCCGAGCGGAGTATGTCCAACTCTCTGATCGCTCGGATTATAAAGATTACAGCCGTGTACGATAGTGTAATTATACCTAATGTAATATACTTTCTATAGAGGTGTGCGAATCAAACATTTGCATGCAGTCGAATCGAATCAAATTTTTGATAACATGTTTGAAATTGAGTCGAATCGAATCTCTTTAATTCGAATATACGAATCGAATTTGAATCAAATTTTCCAAGATTTATATTACATGTTAATTTAAACGCAATAAATATCAAAATTTATGATTTACATTATTTTACGCAATGATTTAAACTGAAGACCTATTTTCGATTTACATCTCATTAACAAAGGATCATGATCTTATGTGACATTTTGATCTAGACAATATGTAAATAATAATATGCGTATAGTTAGAATGCTTTCGAATATTTTATTAATCCATGTATGAATACATTACATACATAAAAAAATATTTACTTATTTATTAGATAAGAATAATTGATCGCGCAACGGGGGATATAAATGAAGCAAATAAATAGGTGATCGATTGGAAATCGAACCACTCGTTGATTCAAAATTCTCGAACTATTCGACTTCGAATCTTACAGATTCGTAAACGTACTCGAATCGAATCCACTGTGATTCGATTCAAATCGATTCGAATTCGAACTATTCGCACACCTCTAATACTTTCATCACTCGGTCGGACCTACGTTCTTCCGGTTTTGCTCGCGCAAATAAAGTCGGAACGATCGCAGGTCACCGCGGCTTGGTGATTAACAATGCGTTAATAGTACCGCACCTGCGTTTACTTATGTACACGTTTCCCCGATATATCTTATATTGTCATTACGTTGGTACGGGCAAATATTTGATTGCGATACACTCGGACGAAAGCAAACGCCTCCGGCTATTATGGCAGTGTAATAATCGGGCGCGTAAACCTGCAGGTAGCCGTGCGTTTATATTATATATTACGCTACATTACATTAAGCATGTTGTATGCGTACAACGCGCGCCCGTCGCTGATAAGCGCGCGGACTCGTGCAGGTCCACGTAAATCGCGGGGGCCCCGGCAGCGATACGTCGTGCATGGGGGCGCATTAATACGCACGTGCTTGCCGTGCGTGCGCTTCGGCAGTTGCATCGTAGATAGCCGGGGCCTATCGTTATTCGTCGCCGGCGATCGGGCTGCGTGCGAAACTAAGAAAAGCGGGAAAACCGGGGAATTTTATCGCGGTTCACTTCGGTCAAGAACAGAATCAGTCCTCTGATTTACAACTTGAATTACTAAGACCTTTATTTATCATTAGGCAGCGGTAACATTAAAAAAAAATTCAAAAATAAATATTAACATAAATGTACCATTTATGTTAATATGTACCACTTATGTTAATATTTATTTTTGAATTTTTTTTAATGTTTCGTAAATGTTTCCTTCATCGGGGGTAATCCGCTGCTTTCAATAGAAAAATTGTCACGTCACGCGGGGACCGCGGACACAAAGGACCCAATTATTTTTTCGGCATACTTCTCTCGGGAGCGAGCTTTTTGTACGAAATTGATGAAGATTTTTATGATGTCCGCGCTGTGTGACGCATATAAATCATATTAAAATGTATTAATCGACGTTGCAGGCAAGGCAAAAATAAACACATACAGCGTATATGTACATGGGGTATGTGCCGTATTAAAACTAGGTTTTCCATCCGCGCCGTGGGTGATTTATGCGCGTTGCAACGGCTCTCTCTCTCTCTCTCTCTCTCTCTCTCTCTCTCTCTCTCGCGTGCGCTGTGTGTGCTCATCGATGCAGGCTTCGCGATTTCAGATCCCGGATTCCCCGGTGCAGAAAAAAAGCGCGAGATGAGGGCTCGATCGGGTCATGGAGGCCGGGGCGCGCTCTCGACGCCGGGCTTTTCCCGGATCCGCGAATTTCACCGTGCGCGTTCTAGTTCATTTACGAATCCTGGCTTACATTTATCGTACACGCAGAATCCTGATTACACATTAATCAACGCAGAGGGAAAAAAAGAAAGAGTTAGCTCTATTAACTTAACGTTTGTGTTTCGCGTTTTTACCGCCCTTGCGCAGATGATGAATCGTTCGATTTTTTTTTTTTCTTTCAGCGAAGCGATGGCCCTGAACGATAATCGCTCCCGGCATTCTCTTTCTCTCTCTCTCTCTCTTCTTGTCTCCAATTTTTCTCGCCGGCTCTGATTTTCTCGTTGACTTGATAATTACTCTCCTCGAAGCGCGCGCGTCTCTAAGACGGGAGGGCGCGCACTCGCAAAGCGCGCACTCGATTTTCCCGGGGCGGGTATAACGTTATGCAATTTTATGCGGAAACTTCGAGAGACGCAAAGGCGAGGGCTCGCTTGCAAGACTATGGTAATGGTGTGGGTTCGTTAGCGCCACGATTGTCGGACACATTGGCGCTCGTTTATACGGATGTTCGGAATTCGAATTGCGAATTCATGTCCTGGTGGTAGTACCTGTCAGCGGCTACAAGACTCTTCCTTTGCTCGCGCGCTTTCCATTTATTATTATGACTTCACAGCTTATACCCCGCTCTCGTCACGAAACGCTCTCTTTCTTTTATTTTTTTTTTTCTGATCACGTTGCTTGATTGCTTTTTTTTAAAGACGGTAAATTAGACAAATTAGTCACAACAAAAATTAGCTTAGCTTAAAATATATACGATAAAGACGTGTGACAGAAGTGACTCACAGAAGTGATTTCCAGGTCCAGCGTAGTGATGCCCCTTATAAGCCGCAAACAGCCCGGGGTTGATACCAATCTGCAAAGTAAGACAAACGATTCGTTAGAATCACTTTGAAGCATTTCTAGACACCGTCTTGCGATAGTCACGTTCATGTCTGAACAAATCGCGAATCGCATACGCCAGCTTGCAGACACGATTGCTTTATTGTTATTTTAATTAGCTGCGTCGGCAATACAAAAACAAAACGGATGTTCTCAAGCGTCTCTCTCGCGACGCTGTGTTTGTGCCGCTTTGAAAACTCCTCCGAACCGCGTCTCCCCTCCTCCCACGTCGATCGTCTAGAAAATTATTACTCATGCTTATTTCCAACTTATTTCCGCGCTCCGAAACGGCGAAATTATTGTCTCGCCGCGTATCCGCGACTTTCCGCCGAGTTTTTTTTTTCCAGACGAGAAAAAACCGGAAGGAGACCAAGGCCCGTTCGCGTCACGCGTTAAGTTGTCGACGTAATTAATTTCGCTTTCTACCGATTGTCAAAGTCCGAGACTTTGGAGAGAGAAAAGAGAACGTTTTGCTCTACCGATGTTTCTCTCGTTTAACACGCGATAAAAAGGTGCACGCGTAAACGGGGGGGAGGGAAATGGGAATCGATTGTAAATCTGCACGCCGTTAATTAAGGCAGACCGTGTGCCGCGATTGATTATGTATATAGATGCAACATGATGAAAACTAATGGCAAATTATGTTGATAGCTTGAATTTAATGAGGGCATTTCGATGAATAAAACTTTACCGGATTTATCGAGGCACTTCTTTGGAAGATAATATTTTTTTAGCGCGCGGCAGAAAATTTGGCGTCCGATCCGTGATTATAAATAAAAAGGAGAAAAAAGTGTGTAATAAAATGAAGCATATATTATGGAAATATGGTTTGAATGCGCGCTACATGCATAATGTTTAATTTAGCTCCCAAAGCTCCCGAAAAAGGCACGCTTGACGAGAGAAATTGCGTGTACCCATATTACATGCGACGAAATTAATTCCGCCATTACGAGGGCAATACCTACTTCAATGGGGCGTTTTTAATCTGTAAAATACGAAAATTTCAAGCTGCAGCCCAAACCAAATCCCGTTTCGTGGAAGCCTTTCGTCTGACGCTTCGGCATTTCCTTTCATTCATTCACAAAAGATATTTATTAAACACAATTAAAAACTACCACTATTTTCTTAATGCGTTTTATTCGCCGACGAATAAGTACGGGAACAAGTACCTTCGCGCGTCTCGGCCCGCTTTATTCCGCTTTAAGATCTCATCTATCGTTACTTACTTTCAATACTCTTTCCAATTTTACTCGATTTCCCATGAATATAACCGCGTCAGCAGATTGCATTGGAACAAATGAATACTTTTTCAAAATGAAAAATGGGCTAATTGAAACTTTCGAGCATATGGAACAAAGCGATGATTTTCCGATGTTGAGAATTAACAGATACTTTTTTTTTTATTTCGATGATTTTCCGAGCATTGAACCGAGTAGTCTCGCGTCTTTTCAATAATTTTGTAACACTTATAATATCGTCATTGAAAAATGATTGTGTTGATCGTAATTCCACTTTGCTCGACTTTATTAAATAATATTAGCGGTTATTTTGATCCATCTACCCTTAGTTAATTTCCTACGTTTTCTCTAGCAAAAGAGGCTTTTTCGTCTCTCGTCCCGTTTTTCGCGTAAACTGAATTAATTAAACTTAATCTCGCGCGCGGGCACGAAGCGATACCGCTGCTACTTCCGTACATACATATCGCAGTGTCTCGAAATCGAGGAAGAGAAAGAGGGGCGGGGGAGGGATCGATTTCTTTCCCCGTTTCGCGTACGACTTCACGTGCGCGCTTCTTACTCGCGATTATGCAACGGCGCGGCGGGAGGGAGGAGGAGGCGGCGGAGGAGGAGGAGGAGGAGGAGGCGCAGGTGCGGCGTTGGTACCTGTTGCACAACCGCATTATCTTCGCTCCTCGCTCCGCCGGTTAGGTAATTAATAACGACAAAGTCCAAGGATACGTGATATGCGCGGCCGCGCGAGCACCATTAGGCGCGCATCTCGCGCGCTATTAAACCCTCCTCCTTCCTCTCCTCCTCGCCGATGCACCTCGTTCCCTCCCTCCCCTCGTCTCTCTCTCTCTCTCTCTCTCTCTCTCTCTCTCTCTCTCTGTCTCCTCCGACTTGCAACTGACCTTTTCGCAAGTGCAAGGTGCGCGCGAGGGGGCTGCACCGCCGCCGGGGAATCTCGTGTCGTAACTTATCGACGTTTATCTCGCGCCTAGCCACGGCGCGGCTGCGACGCGACGTCCGCCGCCGTCGCCGTCGTCGGTAAATAGAGATTAACATTCACCGCGCAACGGAACGGCCGTATACTCCTCGGGATAATTGCATGACAAAGTGCACGTCCGCGCGCGGACCCGCGCGCGCGCGCGTGTACACGCCGCGCGTGCATGTAACATACGTGCGCGCGCGTTTCCATTAAGAATCGCGGCGCGTCCGCCGCGAGGCACGAGAAAGGATCGGCGGCTGATTAGTTTTGAAATTCTTCTGTTCTCGCCTCTGTATTTTAGCGCTCTGCACCGAAGCCCTCGAGGACGTTATTACGAATCGTGCCTCATCGCGCTTGTTAAAGTAATTAAGTGAGGATCGATGCATATCTCTCGCAAGAATTTCTAAATTCTAAATTCAGCGATTTGGAAATCGAGAACTCCAACTGTTCTCCGACGGTACATGTTTAGGAAAGTTATCAATTAAATAAAATAATGCGCGTGCGACGAAAAACATAGGCGTGATTTACAAATTTGGCACTTGCTTGTTCTTTAATTGCTCTCCATATTAAATAGAGACCTCTCTAAAGCGTGGAGTGCGCAACGCATGCTTCACGCGCCTACTGAGGAATCCCCGCGTATCCCTGCGATTCGAGTAATGCATTTCTCGATCGCACCTCCGATTCCAATGGAGGGGAGGGGGAGAAAGGACGAGAGAGAGAGAGAGAAAGAAAGGCTATTGCACGACGGCGTATATCGCACCGTCAAAATCGCGTTATATTAGTCGCGTACGAGCGAATCCTCCTCCTCCTCCTCCTCCTCCTCTTCTTCCTGGCGTACATCCCAAACCCTCCGTGCGTGTACGTGCGTGTATGTTTGCGTGTGTCTCCGTCCCCCATTCCCCGCAGCCTCGCCGTCGACATAAAGTACGTATCGCATTAGCGCGTTAACGCCAATGCGTTAGCCGCTCGGCCGGCGCCGAATGGCGGCCGGGATAAACGAGGATAAAATGACGGGCGGGGGTGGCCACGAGGTGGTGGTTGGACGTGAGGAAGGGTGTGGAATTGTCACCGATTGAAAACAACGCGCGTCGCTCACGTAGGAACGGAACGGCAGGGGCGGAAGAGAGACGGATAGAATTGAGAGAGGAGAGAAGAGGGGCCGGGGAGGGGGGAGTGAGTAGGGAGACGGACAAGCAGGCGAGGGGGCGGGTGGGAAGGGGGAGGGACACGGGGGGTGGCGTGGGGTGGTCGCGCTGGGGGTGCACCAGGGGGTGCATTCTATGGGGAGCAGCGAACAGTGTCCCGCTGCGTTCGATTACAACGTCGGGCGTAATAACCGAATTGCCCACGGCCCGTTAAAGCGTTTACACCGCTTGACGGATGATCGACCACGGTGACAACTCGTTTCGGGTAATATATGAATATGGACCGTGGAGCGCGTTAACAGACTCCCCCGGATGAAAATGGCCGACGGCGTTCGTGCCTTATTTTGCGATAAATAATACGCGCGCGCGCGCGGACCCTTTCTTGCGGGAAGAAAATACGATCTCGAGTTTTCTTTCGTTTCAACCGGGCGACATTTGGCGACGATTGTAATGACCTCGCGAACGACCTGAATCACACTTGTTGCAAAATCGAATTACCTCAGGGAAACTTAAGACCGAGTTTAACAAGTTTTAGAATCTGTTCGACTTGTTGGAATTATTAACACGAGAGAGATATATGTGTGTTTGTGTATTATATATATATATATATATATATATATATATATATAATAGAAATTTAATTTTTAATATTTATACACTAAATTAATCGACAAATTGCTTCAATAATACGCACTTACTCATCATAATACAACATAATTGCGCGCGCTGTCAAAAATATGACAATTTCATTATTCTAAAGAGAAAATCGAGGGTTGAATATAAATCAAGCTACGTTGCGGGGATGTTGTGATACGATTAAAATACTGAAATCGTTACGAGCCTCTCGGTTCCGTCATTTAAGTCACCCCAATTTTGATAACGACGGCCGCATATCGGATTATAACAATCACTCGTAATGACCATGATGCTCACCCGTTAAACTGTTTATACCCGTTTACACCGGTATCGGGTGATCGATCAACGCGCGGCGGGTCGTCGCGTTTGTAACGAGAACGTAATTCCCATTCTCTCGCTTGCATTCAATAAAGATCACGCTAACGCGCGGTGACGAAAATGACACGTACGTAGAGCAGAATCGTGTGAAATTGTTTTCGGATTTTAACCGGATCGCAATGCCGATTCTTCATCCGCCGGCGGGATTTCGCGGCCTGTGACTGACGGACAACTTGACTTATTTATCAATCCTGGCGCGATACACTCTTCATTTTACGCGAATATAACTCCCGATTTAGTTCTCCGGAAGTATATATATTTTGCGCTGTTGAACAATTAATAACTTGGTCGTTGTTGGTTTCGTAAAGTCAATTAAGCTTAACCTCTAATTAGTTTTGGTCTTTCCTTTAGTTTCTCTCTAGTCTCTCTAGTCTCTCTTCCAGCAAAAAGAGACGGAGACTGCAACTAAAGGTTTAAGTTTCCCGACATCGGCGAAACTAGTCCGTGTGGTCAACCAGAGTTTCTCTCTCTTTCTCCCTCTCCCGCCGCTTTCTCCTTCTCTCTCTCTCTCTCTCTCTCTCTCTCTCTCTGTGCTCACGGCACCGACGTGCCGCGTGTGATAACCGAATCGCACACGGATCATTAAAGCGATTAGGCCGGCTGTTGCGGAGGCGGCGATTGCCATTTGTCGTTGCCGCGTGCAGGGCAATCCTCGCGTTTTCGCGCGGGCGGTGACTCCAAGATGGATACGCGCGCGCCCGCGGTTAAAGCCGTGCCCGGGGGTCGTCGTGCCGCACGCGCGTATAGGATTAATTACCGTCATTCGATCAAGAACGACATCACGGCGCATTGGTAATGCGGCATTACAAATGACACGCACGGCACCCGCGATATATGTGCAGCCGGGTTATAAATTACGCGTCGCGGCGCGCGCGCGCGCGTGCGTACGTACGTAGGTAGGTACACCGCGGCGTGCCGCGGCAGAAACGCGTGCGGTATCGGTGAAATTGAAGTTTTTATTGTTGTTAAGTGTTATACGGATGCGATTTAATGAATATTCGTTGCCCAGTTCGGCGGCGCCGAGTGGAGAGGAACTGAAGTCGCGGAATTGAAAACGTTGCTTTATTTAGTACGAGACGATCCGCGACACGACCCCGCGGGTACAATTCAATTTATCGATACTGTCGGATGATCTGTTTTGAAACGCGCGTCCGCGCGCGTTCCATCTCGTATTCTGCATGTATGACTATTGTTAGCTGTCTGAAGCACCTTTAAACGTTAAAATTATAGCCGTGCTTATACACGCTTATACACGCCGGAATATGTATGGAGCGTCCGGAAATTTACACGACTTGACAAGATGACGTAATATTGATGTACGATAAAGAACAGCGGGTGTATAACTTGCGGGGAATATTAATGCGGGGGTCAGCCGAGGTTGCGTTTACTCGACGCTAATACCGAAAGTACGAAATAATTACGCGCAAAACGGACTTACTATAATGATGTCAAGGTTGTTGGTGAGGTGGTCCGGTAGAACGCGCTTGCTCACTTCCTCTTCCGGCATGCCGTCGAACCTGTCGTGCTTCTTCCTCTCTTTGTACGTCTTCGCGCGTTTCTTGGCCTCCGCGAGTTCCGCTCTGAAAGGAGAAGGGAAAAAAAAGAATGAGAAAAGTGGATACAGAGGGCCTTAATAATACGCTGGATTCCTTTATGCTGCGTCATACGATTCAGCGCGAAAGGCGCGCGCAACTGTATACTATTTCTCTCGATCGGCAGGGGACACGCGGCATATTCCGCGTGTGCTTTTTGTCAAGCCGGCGAACTCGCGCGCGCGCGCGCGCGTCTTAGGCACTCCGGCGTTTCGATTTGTGACACTGTAACACAATGTAACGTTTTGTATCGGCCGGACGACTTGTAAGCCGTCGTGAATACGCGCATTCGAATAATACACGGATGAATAAGCTTGGATCTCGCAGGATAAAATGACGATGGCAAAATGCAATTTATGGCCTTTGCGTTTTTAAACGCGAGACGTGCCCGGGTCGATAAAATAAAACGTCACGAAAAAAACAATTTTTTTTTTATTCGGTAGTTGCAATTATTACAACTATATTCGCGCCGCGCGATAGCGCACAACTGTATTAACTATATGACCGCGAATATATTTTAATGCAAATTAAAGCATTATGAAAAAAATGTGCAAATTAGCGGTAGTTTTGCAACGGAGCGTAGATGATTGATCACATTAATTGATGTATTTGCGTGCCGTTCCTTCCTTTTAAGTTATACGCAACAGTAGCTGCGCAATTTCGTAAAAAATGTCGATGGGAGGGGGCGGGGGAGACGAAGCAGGGATATCTCTGCACGTCGGCATAATGGGCCTTTGTTTAGCCACCACGGGATATTCAATTAAATAGACATACCGATGTACAACGTGTCAAGAGGGCATGAATAATTCTCTCTCAAGATCCGCAATTAACGTCTTAATGAGCGCGCTATCTCCTGACGTATCTCCGTAGTAGCGGCGCGTACATCCGATCGTGTTACGTTCCTAATATGCGGAACTATTTTTAAGTTTTCGGCCGGCTTCACAAAAATAAGCGCAACTGAAGATCCTATCGGATCAAGCAACATGGTGCCCGGTCAGACGGACATTGTTAGCAGAGCGGATATTTTTAACCGTGCAGGCTGTGCATGCAAATATATAACTAACTCTGGTTATATCGAGAGTCGCGGGGCTTCGCGGCCGGTATTCGTGTTCCTTCTCGGCTTCGCCTCCCCCTTGCGTACTTATTAACGCATTTGTTAATTATAATAATAATTATATCTCTATGCCGTAGATTGTAAACTCTGAATTCAATTTTACGAAGGTGTAAAACGTTATTTAATATTAATTTTAACCTGAGCGGCCTTTCTAAGAGCGGCCGGTGTTGGTACAAACCACGCGCGAGAACACGAACTCACGACGCCCGTTCTTAAAGGGTTGAGACCGTAAATGAATTTTGACGTCGCGCCGTCAACTTTGCACAGCCCCGTGAACGATATTTCGCGGCGGGCTTTTGTAAACTTGAATTAAATTTCTTTTTTTTTTAAATAAAAAAAAACGGCGAGTCTTACGGGCGGAACACGACGAGGAGCCTCGCCTTGTGCCTCGTGCGTTAAAAATTTGTCACGATTACGTGAGCATGTAATTGAATTATAACAAAGAGTCACGTGGTATATAATTTTCGCGAAGTGTGGCAGGAAGAAGCGCGCACCGACGTCGTTGGAGGCTGCGAAGGAGGTTTAGAATCACGAAGTCGGACGTAACAACGCTCGCGGTCGAGGCGTTGCGCGCGCCCTCCCCGCGCAATTGATTATATATGCTTAGACTCTTACTCCTCGGGGGTGAGTATCATCTCCGACTTTTTTTTGCGGCCCCGCTTCTTCGGCTGATGCGCCAGCTGCGGATTGACGCTGCCGGCGCCGTTCATCACAAGATTCATCTGATGATGTTGTGGCCCGGGCAGCGCCCCAGGCGGCGTCGACGTGGGTGTACCCAGCCCAGGTTGGGCGCCGCCCGGACACGTCATGCTCTCGGGATTGCCGCCACCGCCGCCGCCCGGACTGCTCGCCGACCTCATGCCGCTCATCGACATCTCCTCGTCGACGAACGAATACGGGTCCACCGGCGTCTCGCATTTTATCGCGACCTGGAAAAAGAGCGTCAGCAGACGGTTGGTGGATACGTCGTCGCTTATCATATATTCGGCGCCGTCGCGTCCGCCGGAATAATGCACGTGGGGTTTTCGGAACTTCCGCATCCAAATGGCACGAAAGCGTTAGGATCAAGGATAGGAAGACTGGAGAAAGTGTTTGACGTTTCTGTTTCTCTCTCCCTCTCTCTCTCTCTCTCTCTCTCTCTCTCTCTCTCTTTGCTCGAAATGGAATATATTGCAGAGGTATGGCGTCTCTAAAAGTAAAAATTCGTGAAACATATAATCTATACATGACAAAAGACGGCGAGACTTCAAATATTTCCACGACAAATTCCGACGCGACGTTTCTTTATTGTGATATTATGGGTAGACCATATTACCGTATTTACTGACCGAATTTCCCGCGTTTCCCTGAATAATACATACCGGCGAAAAGGGAAGGAAAATGTGCTGGCGCACCGGTCGGCGGCGAATTATCCTTGCGATATCCCGAATCGCGATGACGGGCTGATGTCCCAGCCTAATTTAATTCTACCTCGAAATTACGCCGCGGAATTTTTCGTCGTGTCCGCAAGTTTCGCAGGCGGCCGGCTGCGGAAAAATGAAATTTCTCCTGAGCACGTACAATCCCGACGTAAAACATGTACCGACGATCACGGACACGTACAGTGGCGATCATAAAACGTATGTATCCCAGCCGGCGCTATATGTATATATATATATATATATATATATATATATATATCTTTCTCTTTCTTTCTCTCTCTCTCCCCCGCGATGCCCTTGGGGAAATAGTAATAGCGCAATTGCCACATGGACCGAAAATACGCGGCCACGTACAACGTATCAGCCATTCGCGGTTGTAAAATGTGCAGCTGTGTCTCTTTTTTTGCAAATTGCGCGTGTTACGGACTGACGCGATCACCGTTCTTCCCCCCGGTCTCTACTTTTTGTACCGTCTGCTTTTTGCATTAGCTAAAATCAACTGAGGTTTCAGTGATTTTCTGCCCCTTTTTGAATATGAAATTAGGAAAAAATAAGAGGAAGAGATACGTAACGTTGGCTGCACAAGAGCTAATTGCTCTGAATGAGTGACAAGTTCTATAAAAATTGAATACCTGATGGCAAGATGTGAAACGCGCGACTCCCGGGTCAAATTATCTGGAAAGTTTCTTGTGTCGATCGAGTTTTCTCTCGATAGATGATTAACGCGACAGGATAGTCCAAGTGACCGTTCCTATGCTCCCCCGACTTTTCTCGACGCGTTCGCGCAAAAATTCGATATCGCGTACTAAAATAAATGCTTGAAGCGCTATCCCGCCCGATGAAATCAGAAATTATTCAACAGGCCGTTATTATATTCTGAAGGCTGTCAATAATACGATAATTTAGCGTATCGATATTCAGCACTCTTAATTTTAAATGATCTGAGCCGCCGTTCGTTTTCATTTCAGCGAATGCAATACGCGGATACGGGATATTTCGCGCCATTCACGAAAACGCAACGTCCACCACTTCCCCGCGTTTATTTTAGTTCAGAAATGTGTATAAGAAAAAGAAAACAGTGCTCCTGCAACGGGCCGCCCGTTTAAACGTAAATACACCCGGGGAAAGGATCCCCGCTCGCTTTTTCGAAAACGTCCACGGAAATGAAAGCATAAGAGATTACGCGAATCCGACGGAGCGGAATCGGAGGATTTTTTTTTTCATCGCGACACACATAAACATACCCCTCGTTTGCAATTTTCGACCTGGTCCCCCTCCCCCCGACTACGGCGGCGCACCCGCGCTCTTGACCCGGTAGATAACCCTGCGAAATCGAGGTCGAAAATCCCGCGAAGATAAGGGCCGCACTGACTGGTAGTTACCGATAACGCCGTTATCCCTTCCCCTTTTTCACGGGACTCCGAGCTTCGGCCTTGGAGAGTCGCCGACAATATTGCGCGCGATAAGAACATACGTGCGCGCATGCCACATTGTTATTATTTGCAAACAAAAGGACGCCGTGGTGAGTGTCGCGAATGTAGCGAGCGTACAGATTTGTTTGATCCGGCGATGCTAAAGCACAATATTTGTATTGAGAAAAAAAAAACAGGTAAATAGAAGATTTTTATTGCGAGACGCCGCGCAAAGGATGCTCGTTTATCGATTTCAAGAGCCATTAATCTATAGGTATACGTTTCGGGAAAAATATCCGTCGCGCCGTTACGATAATAAAGCAAACATACCTCCGCTATACCTCCGCTTATCTAACTCCGCCTTGTCGTCATCCGTTCTGTCTGATATAGAAAAGTAATAACTGAGTCACAGTTCGAAACTAAAGAGATTACGCTATATGGAAATATTTCGATGTTATTAATTCTTTTTCTTCTGTAAGGATAACGCGGCTTTCGCGAGAGTGACATCTCTTCTATAGGCTGTTCATTTCTTCGATTGTCACGGAAAAAGGCGTCTACGCCTCGAATGTGTCTGGCTCGTTTACGCGGAAACAATTGAAACGTCGGGGAATCTAGGGAAGGGTTAAGTAAAACAATGTGAAACGGGATCAAGAAAAGAGGAGCGCGATAATGCGAACTCGATAAATCCGGGACGTGTTCCACGGTTAACAATTCGATCAACGGAAATTCGCTTCGCTCGTCGGCCGTTCATTCGTTAAAATGAGGAGCTGGTAAAACCGAGATCGATCGGTCGTCACGTCACGAGATAATTTTCGAGAAAAAGACTATCGATCCCGACAGCGGATAACAACTTTGCGGATATAATGGCAATTTAATATCGGATGAAATTTCTGTAATTCGCGCGCGATAGCGCCGATAGCCAAATTGGGGAGCTGGGCAACCTGCAATTAATTCATGAGCGGAAAATGCGCGTTCTGTGATTGAAATCCCTGAAAATTACCACCGTCAAAATATTCATCCGAATCACATTTGCAAAAGCTTTTATTTTCCCGGTTTGTAAAGTGAAAAAGTCGTGAGAGAGAGAGAGAGAGGGGAAGAAAGAGGGAGGGAGAGAAAGAGCCTCTGGAAAAATACAATAATTCCTTTTCTATTTCTTCTGTTATATGTGAATTTATATCTCGTAAAGCAAATAAATAGACGTCACAAAGTTATTATATTTGCTGCTTTTATGAAAAAAACATCCTCTAAGAAATTAATTTACATTTTTCTTTCATTAATGAATCCGGTTATCAATATAAAAATATAAAATGATTTTTTATCGTACAACCTTGCAACGTCAAAATACCGTGAAATTACGTTTTCGCGATATCTGTTGAAAGGAAATTTTTTTTTCATTTTCGCAAATTTTGCGTCAAATTTTGCAATCGCGTAGCAATCAAAGAAATTATGAAAGGGATAAACGGTCGCGGAACAAACTCGTTCGCGGGATCTTTTGCCCGCGTATTAAGCGGAAAATAAGTAACACCGCGGCGCGCGGGGCCCATCCACGGCTTTCATTGTACCGCGACAGAGGTAATGTTGCGTAAGTAGATCGTAAAACTAACATGAAAATGCAAATCGCCGCGCGCGGCATTGCGAAAATCCCGGAGTGGCGATTGCGCGCGTCTTTATTGCAATTTATTGCTCGTAATTTTGATTGCGAGGTGCTAGATACACCAATACAGCAGGTTCCTAATGAGAACCGCCTGCGCTTTTTATTGGCTAATAAGTTTGGTGTTTTACGCGCGACTTTTTTTCCCCCTCTACGCGTATAATAACATATTTTCTTCAGCGATTCACGCGGGAGAGCTTTGCCATGCGATACTCGTTAGCGAAGAGACCGCTATTGTAGTTCCCGGCTTCGATCACGATCACGTTATTCGTAATTTAATTGTGTGTGTGTGTGTGTGTCTCTCACCCTTTTTTATAAACACGCGATCGTCTCTGGCCTGCAGATTTTAAATCGCGCTACAGAATTTCAAAGATAATCGCGTGGACAGTAAATTTCACAATATTGTCACTACGTTACACGAGCATTATTTTATTAAAAAAAATAATATTTAATCGTTTCCGAATTATACCACACATATACCAAGGATTTGGATTCTTTTATTTATGTCCATGACGTAGATGATCGAATATACGCGAGCGTTAATTTCAGATTGTCATGTTAGTTAGCGTAAATTAGATGAAAACGAAATGCTGCGTTTAATCCAAAATTCTGACGTAAGATCGATTTGGAATACGCCGTACGGCCATTACATGCAACCCCGCGGCATAATTACAAGCAATCACATGCACATACATACATATATTCCGCAAGCGTAGCATTATTCCCGACATTTCAACGTTGTAATTCGGCTGCAGAACGTCTCAATTATGGTTTCTCAAGCCGTATTATGGTTTGATTTTACGATACGGAAGCTGCACCTTTCCTCGATGCTCTCTCCGATATCTAATCTTTTTAATGGTTATTTTTCGGGACATCGTGATATAATAAAATTACGAATCGCGCGCTCGCTATCGGTTGCTATACGTAAAAGAGAGCTCGGAGAGAAGAAGAACGAGGATGGAGGAAGAAGCGCGGGGTTGGTCAGGAATGGGAGGACGGACGGGGCGGGGGAGAGAGCGGGGGAGGCAGGGTAGGCGAATATGAAAAACTCACCTGTCCGAGGGTGGAGGCGGTCGAGCCCGGCTGCTGGGGTTGATGCGCTGTCGCCGATATCGGCGTGAGGGGCGTGTGCGGCGTGTGCGGTGTGTGCGGCGTGTGTGGTGTCAGCGGCGTGTGATACTGCTGACTGCTGTCACCGCCGGTGCTCCTCATCTCGAGGTCCGGACTCGTCTCGTAACCGTCGTCCCTCGCCTCCTGCTTCACCATCACCCCTGCACACAGAGACAAGGACAGGGCGATGCCCTTTAGATTTTCGGCGTTCCGTTTCTCGTCCGCTCCCGCGACGACACCCGGCGGCCGAGCGCTTCTCCGAGCGGCCTCCTGGGCGTCGTGGAGCGAGGAAAAATTTTCTCACGCGCGACAACGTGCCGCGTTATTGCGGTGATTAACTCTTTATAACCGCGCGCGATAACAACCCTCCCCGAGTCCGTTCTATATAGGAGGTTAAGAAGAAAAGAATAGAAAAGAATGCGAGATAGACTGCGAGATCGGAGCGAGAGTGAATTGTTTACTAATGTCTAATATATTCGAAAAGAATACCAATTAAATCACGCACTTACATTATAATTTTATGTTTATTAACATCGTGATAAGTCGCGGGACAAGACTTCTTTCGCCTAATTTTAGTTCCTCGGCGCAACACAGATGTCAGACACCCGTGACGGCTCGTTAATCATTCCTCCCGAGTGTTTCTTCTATTTTCCTCCCGCGCGTGCACCACGTACACGTTAACTAGCTCGAATTATCGCGCTATTAATTCGCACAGGAACTCCCGTCACTCATCTCGACTCGTCTCACATTGTGAAATACTTCCTGCGCGTAACTGAGAGAGCAAATGAGTGACTCATCGAGTACCGTGTCTAACTCTAATCTCGGCAGCTACAGGTAAACAGGCACCAGTTGAATTTTCTGCCCGGGATAGATACAGTTACCACCGAGAAGAGAGCGTCGGTGGTTTGCCCGGAATCAAAGTGCGCTTCGAACTTTCGATATTTGTTCGCCAACTTTTTCAAACGATCGAATTTATCTTTCCTACGGCTTTGAAATCGAGGGGGAAGAGAGAGAGGGGAAAGCTCGATAAGTTGTAACTTTCTCCTACGGCTTCCCGTCGAGACGAAATTTACCGCCATGTATCGCCGATGAAAAATAATTCTTGACAAGATTGTGCAAAGTATAACCTTTCGTACTTTCCGAATAAAGTTCCAAGAGCGCTCAACGTAACGTTTTTTTTATTGGCTGTACGAAAGTTTCGCGTCTATACGTTTCATTTCATTTATAATTGCGTACATTAACGAAAGGTCTTGTCTATTTTTTTTTCTGTATCAACTGTTGAAAATAAAATAATTATCCAATGTAAAAATGAGTGTCTCGTCTTACCACACGTCGCGTCGTACGAAACAGCTGGCGGTAAAAGAGCGAAGCGTCATTAAAGACATTGTCAATCAATTTCACAATACATCGCGGTAATAAAGCTCAAAGTAACGCCGATAATTTGATGGGGAATAAATAAACGAGGCATTTAAGTGATTTAAGAGATTATTGTATAATCCTTGGGCCGAACCGCAACCTTTCCCTCGGTTTAGTATCACCCCGAACAAGTTTTATTGCCGGCGGTATCGTCGATGGTAATTTAATAGCTGAGGAGTACCGAGAGAAACGAGTTAATCGCTCGTCAGAAGATTTACCGGTTAGCCGTTGAAAGCCCCCCGGTAACGGCAAATACATTAAAACCCAGCCCACTCGCGCCCATCCGCTCGCTGTCCGACGACGCGTAGAATTGTTCAATTGACCCAGAGAAAAATATTCCGCGGATTGATGACTGACAGCCCGGTGAGACGGCGTGTTTGTAATTGGCCTCGGATTTTGCCCCGCGCGCGTATATTTCGGCACGATTGTCGTGCACCCCCCCCCTCTTCTCTTCTCCTCTCCTCTCCTCCTCCTCCTCGCGCCACACGCATCGGCGATAACGTGCGCCCTGTGCTCGACCTGTCCGGATCGGTCTCGCTGTCGGGAAATATTTTTTTTTACAATTTCGCGCCAATTGCCGGCGATATCGACGCGGCTTTGGCTTCGCGACCTAACGCGAATGTCGTCGCCTGTTTTATCATGTTTCGCGCTAGTAGATTCGCGGCTTTTCCTCGCGAATCATCGCGGGAGAATTATTCGTCCAACGATCGTTACGGGAATTTTTATTCTTCTAAAGAAAAAAAAAAACAACAGAAAAATTGTGATAAAAATTGAAGTTACATGTGAAGAAGCCGCGATAGCTGCACGCTTTGTAAAAAGCTCGAGATTTCTGAAATGCCACGTGTGTTTCCCTCCGCGTATATGTATGACAAACCCGCGGCGCAAAAATATCGCGAGTACGCAAAGGCGCGTGATACTTATGAGAATCCCATTATAATGAAAATTAATTTCGTAATAAGCTCGCGTTGAAATGAAGCTTTTTCATTGATTGCGCGTTCCGCGCAATTTCCGAGCGCCCGTGCGCGCTCGCCGACCCTTTTTCGTCGTGAAATTCCATGCGAATCTGTTTAATGGCTCGCTCGCAATCGCGAATAAACGCGGGGACGGAGCTTTTTGCCCGGTGCGGGCGGGCGTGTATATACGTGCACGCACGTGCGTATATATATATATATATATGTATATGAGTATGAGCCGCGCGGCGACCGCACGTTCGTCGCACGCGCGTTTCCCTACCCTCTCTTTCTCTCGCCCCGCGCGCGCGCTTGTGTCGCACAGTAGCGAAAAATATAAAATTAATATTGTATCTGATCCGCGCGCGCGTGGATACCCTTCCCCCCCCCCTCTCTCTCTCTCTCTGAATATCCTTTTGCCGCGATAATCGCGCGATATTGAATCGTCATGAGGCGGATAATTTTTTTTCCCTCCCTTCTGCGCCCGAGAGACCGCCCGGCCGCGCCGCAGCCCCGGCTAAAATACCAGAGTCAATATTTTCAAATATCCGCCCGACGTTTGATATTTGCAAATTATACACGTACGAGGACTGTGCGTGCGTGCGGCGCGAGCGAGCGAGAGAGAGAGAGAGAGAGAGAGAGAGAGAGAGAGAGAGAGAGAGAGAGAG